GGTCTTCCTCTCTCTGCTCCCAGCTCTCTAAGACTTGAAATAAGCAAGAGAAAATTCAGGAAAAAAACAAAGGTGAAAGTCTTAGGAAGTTAGGCTGCACCCTTATTTGGCTTTTGAGTAGACTTCCATAAGGCTTTATTTAATAAAAATGTTATGCTGTATACAAAAAAAAGATAAAAAACTGTACTTAGATAGGGCTGTTTCCGATGCTGACAGTCTGCGAGTCATTTTTATGAATGTGTCTGTCTTCTTTAAAACAGCGTAACATTTTCTTACGAGTATTTAAAGTAGTCATTAGATCAGGTCTGTGCTTCTGTTGAGCCCAATGAGCCCCTGCAGGGGCCTCTGGCACTGCTCCCTGTCTGCTGAAGGAGCTAACACTATGAAGTTTTCAGGGGTGATACAACATTAGGTCTATTTCTTATGCATTTGGGTGGCAAATGGTCAAGACAGTAGAAACATGTCCATCAACTTGGTTTTCACGTATGCTTATAACTATAATTTATGTGGAGATGTGTGAGGTTTCTGTGTATTGTAGCCATTCCTGCATTGTTACTGATTTTTTAAATTTATTTTTTGTTACTGACGTATCAGCAGAGAGAAACTCTAAAATGTTTTCTTTCGTTTTTTAAAAAGCTTGCTCAAATGGGACTTTAAACTGTGGGACGTTACAAAATCATTACAAAATTTATAGCGTCATCTAGTTTATTCTTGCATGGATATGTTGGCTCTGGTGCTAAAAATGCCTTCATGACCTTTTAATTTAGCTTCTAAACATTAAGAATTGTCCTTACATGCCCTGGCCGGTGTGTCTCAGTGGTTAGATTGATCCCCACCCTGGGGAGAGGCAACCAACCGATGCGTCTCTCACATCACTGTCTCTCTCTCTCTGTCCCCCCTCCCTCTCTCCCTTCCACTCTCTCTAAAAAAAAAACACCAAAAACAAACAAAAACCATTGGAAATCCTCAGGGTAGGATTAACAATTAAAAAACAAGAATTATCCTTATGAGTTCTGGTTAATAAATATTTAACACGGGCCAGGTCCTGTGCCATGCGCTGAGGCCACCAGCGCACGTGACGGACTCCACGCCCCGGGAGGAGGCGCACAGGCATCCTGTGCGTTGCACACCATCGAGAAGAGGCGGGCGCAGGACTCCTCTGACCCTGAGTCCCTGACGGTTCAGGAGAGAAAGGCTGCTGGGCACTGGGCAGGAGGGGGTGTAAAAGAAACTGAGGTCACGTTTGCTGAGAAGTTTGGTCCTACGGAGGAGAAAAGCTTGGGGATTGTGTGCTTCTCCACCAAGACAGGAGAGAGAGCATTTAAATGACAGAGATAAAAAAGGGGGGGAAATATTCAGGATGCCACAAATGGAGGCACCAGCAGTTCTGAAGTAAAGGGAAGGCACGGGATCAGGGATGCTCGTGGAAGGGGCAGTGCAGGGAAAGAGGCCCCTGTTCCTTCACTCGTGTGTGCAGAGGTACTAGGGTGTTGACAGAGGCCAGCGTTCTGTGAAGGTCTGAGTACGTGTAATGTGTGCTGATTAAGGGCACGGGCCTTAGAATTAAATCCTGGTTTACATTCCAGCTCCACTCCCCACCCTATGTGAACCTGGCCAGGCTATTTAACCTCTCTGAGCCTTACTTCCCGTATCTAAAAGTGGAAATAATAATAATACAGTAACCTATCTGTCCCTTAATGGAAAGACAGATAAACAAGTTGTGATCTACACATACAGTGGAAAACTATTCAGCCATTAAAAGGAAAGAAGTTCTGATACATGGTACAAGGTGGAAAAACTTCAGAAACATGACGCCAAGTGAAAGAATCAGACACCAGAAGTCACATGTCGTCTGACCCCGTTTACGGGGAATGTGCAGGGTAGTAAATCCATAGGGACGGAGGTAAGGGCAGGGAGATGGGGCGAGTGGGAATCCACTGCTTAGTGGGGACGGTCTCCTTTTGGGTCTAGTGCTGGAACTAGATGGTGGTAGATGTATAACATTGTGAATGTATTAATATTACTGAATTGCTCACTTTAGTTTTATGTTATGAATTTCACCTTAATTAAAAAAAAACCAAAAAACTTAAAAAAAACAAAAACAGCTTATAAAACTGTTCTGACGACTTAGTGAAAAAAAGCCCTTGTGAAGCAACACGTCCTGAACACCGTGAGCACTCGATAAAAGTTATCCATTGACAGTGTTGCCTTTTCAATACCCTTTCCTTCAGCTTTCCCCACCCCCATCATTGTAAGTCTCTGTGTGTGTTGGGAGGGGATTTTGGGAGGGCAAGTAGAGAAAAGTTAGAAGTGAGAAAAATTCTTGAAGTTCATTTTTTAAAAAAGATTTAGGTAAAAACGTGCTCTTTTGCGCGTTTCCACTTACTACCACTATTGAAAGAATAGTCTAGCACAAAACAGCTGTTCATTAAATGCTTGTGGGCGGAGCGAATGGCTCCAGAGCTGGAATCACGCAGCGCCGCTCTGTTCTCCATGTCCAGCTGAGAATGTCGCCGGGAGAAGTCTGCTTCCCTGGAGGGAAGCGCGAGCCCACGGATGGGGATGACGCCGCCACGGCCCTGAGGGAAGCGCAGGAGGAAGTGGGGCTGCGCCCGCAGCAGGTGGACGTGGTCTGCCGCCTGGTGCCCTATCGGCTCAACGTAAGGGTTGGAACGGAACTGGGTTTCAGAGACACATGAGCTCTCAGTACATCCACTGTCTTCAGGATGGCCCCCTGGGCAAGCCCCCTTTCTTGTCTGGGACCCTCTTTCCCCATCCAGAAATGAAAGGGGAACTCCAGCTATGGTTTTCTCACTGAGTGCTGTGGAACCCTGCATAGGCTTCTACGCTAAACCCCAGGCCTCCCCTCAAAATTCCTAGTCGAATCTTTCACTTGACAGCACCCTACACTTACTTGCTAGCAGTTGCAACTGTAAATAGAAATCCTCCCACATATAAACGTGTTATATAAAATAGTTCATATATGATTATGTGTATATATACATATATAATTTCCCATAAATGGGAATATGCCACAATTAATATTATCTCACCTCTATTGCTAAGATGGCACGTTCTTGTCTATACTGATAGGGAAAGCTATGGCATTTTTTTTAAAGGGCTGCATAGAATCCCATTCTATGGCTATACTCAATTTATCAACCCTAATTGCCCATCAATTGAGGAGTGGTAACTTTAGAATTTGGGGCTATTGCAAATAATGCTTCAGTCTTGTGCAGTAAGTCCTCCCTTAACATTGTCGACGGGTTCCGCAACTTTAAGCAAACAACATATAACAACCAATTTTACCCTAAGCTAATTGATACAAAGTTCAGTGATGTACTTGTATCTTTTCTCACTGGTACAACTTGATCATACAGATATATTTACACAAATACAATTGCTAAGTCAGAGAGATCACGATTTTAAAATGCCAAATTGCCATTCCAAAAGACTACCTACTCATGTTCATGAAATATTTTCAGAGTTATCTCACAGATGCTGCCTAAGGTAGGGCAGGGACCCCCCGCCCCCATTTGATGGGGGGCATAGAGTTTACATCTGTAGCAAGTGCTTCCTCCTTCCCGACCCACCTTATGTGTGACTGCTTCCCCCTGCTTTCTTAGTTTACATGGAAGTGGCATGACTTTAGCATCTGAAACAGTATCTCTTCACTTCCTCATTTGTGTATTTTGTTTTCTGCTTTCAGAAAAATACATTTATAGCACCAGTTGTAGGGTTTATAGACCACGACTTCCAGGCCCAGCCTAATCCTGATGAAGTGAAGAATGTGTTCCTGGTGCCTCTGGACTATTTCCTGCACCCACACTCCTACCACCAGAGTCACCTGACAAAATCTGGTCGTCATCTTATTATTCACGCCTTTGAGTACACAAACCCTGAAGATGGCGTGACTTACCACATCAAAGGAATAACTGCAAAATTTGCCCTGTTCGTTGCCTTAATCATTTTGGAGGAAAACCCCACCTTTGAGGTTGAATTTAATCTCAACGACCTAATAACATCCTCTGAAGAATCCTTCCTGAAGCTTTATAAACATGCAACAAGCAAGTTATGATTTATGAGACCAACATCCAAATAACTACCTAAGCAGCTTTGTGTGTGCTTATCCGCAGAACAACAATACTGCCAGCTGGTGGAATTTTACAGGTGCAAATATTTTTCCTGCAATATGAAGATAAAAACCTTGCCTTATTTCCAGTTGCTCTCTGTTATCTGAAAGAGCCAAAGTCTTTCAAAAGTGAAAAATACGTTTATAGTATTGCATAATTTCACCCACCGTATATTAGCACCATTTTTCTTACACATGTAAGAAAATGTATCTGGCACACAGTAGGCACTTAATAAATATTAATTGAATATATGACCATGTGGCATTTATCTTATTTATAAGAGGTAATATCTCTTTCTGTCTGATGTTACATGTGATGGAAACTTCTGGCTTGCCATCAGAATCTATTGTCCCTTTCTTCTATGGCAGTAGAGCTGAAGCTGAGTCCAAAGCTCCCGGGTAGAGACAGCATTACCCAGAATTCCTTGCAGTTAAATGCGGCTCTGGAACTTAGTTTAAGCCAATGGGATATAAATGAAAATTTACTTTGCAGGTCATCTCCAATGTAAGAGATAAACCAGCTTCCCTGGACTCTTTTTTTTTCCCCTTTCCATGAGCTACAACATGGGTTTATCTGCAACCCAGCCTTGACCATATAGATGAAGACAATTCCTGGGGGAATGGCAGAACCAAAAGATGGTAAGAGCTTGGATCTCTGAATGGCTCTGTGGAGCAAAACAACCTGCCACCCTGGGCTGTTCACATGGGAGCTGGGACTGTTACGTGGGAGGAAAATAAAATTCTGTTACCTTTCTGCCACTATAATTTGTAGTCACTTTGCTTGCACAGAGCTATAACCCTAAATAATATATCACAACACGTGAAAATGGCCAGATGGATATTCACCCAAAAATTTGGGATGAGCTGTGGCATTTAACATGGGTTGTGTGACAGGCACAGGATGCCCTTAGATGTTGGTGGGGTTCGGCTGTCATCATCTGGAGCAGCCGAAGTGAAGGAATAGAGAGGCCCATATGCCTGCCAATCAGGAGAAGTCATGTTACCCACCTCGAGGTGCTGGGAGCAGGAAAACACTGATTCTAAGCATACGCCCCACATCAGAAGTGAAAAAGAACCATTCTGAATTGCATGCCTTGAGATCTGCCGCTTTTTACATGGTCATCTCCATATATCATGCTTTATATTTAACAGGAATTTCCTAGTTTAATTATGGTATTAACTATCCTGCACGAGGTCAGGGAAGCAGGTGAGTAAAGCCATACAACCTCAACTGTGTGATGGTAATTGCCCATCTTACTGCCTTACTAAATTTCTAGAAAGCCAAACCATTATTAATAAGACTCTGTGATAGCTGAAAATGTGATGCCCACACTAAACCCATCAATCGGCCACACGACTGCCCATTGCTGCTGAGTTTTTATTTTCTGAGAGTCGGCGGAGGAAATTACCCGTTCTGCTGTTTTATACCCGTAAGTGTTGAAACAGCACAAATCTGGCTCCAACCATGAAAGCAGATGTTGGGTAAGGTCCCCCATTAACATTCTGTAGCTAGGCCTGCATGAACAGGCCTCATTGTTTCTGAACAATTATAGAGGCATTTGCAAGTGTGTATTTACAATCCGACAGCAGTGTAATTGCTGGGTAAATTGTTGACCTCTCAGGCAGTGCAGAAAATTGCCTTTCTGAACTGTTGTGAACTCCACAGATCTGCCTGGTGTCTAACAGGAGTTGGCCCAGCCAAAGTCTACAGTCTAAATGTCACTTGTGGCCACTCAATTTAAGGAGCTAAATATTTAGCGATGGAGGTATTGTCTCCTCCCCCTGTTTTTGGTGGTGTACTTTGTGACATCTTTGTTCAGGGTTCTAGTTAAACATCCTTTGACTGAAAGGAACAGAAGTCTAGCAAATCTGGCTCAAATTTTTAAAAAGTTGCCTGGCCCGCATGGCTCAGCAGTTGAGCATGACTTGGCTCCAGGAGATCACGGTTCGATTCCCGGTCAGGGCATATGCCCGGGTTGCGGGCTCGATCCCCAGCACAAGGCGTGCAGGAGGCAGCCGATCAATGACTCTCATCACTGATATTTCTCTCTCCCTCTCCCTTCCTCTCTCTGAAATCAATAAAGACAATAAAAAAATCAATAAAAGAAAATAAAAGAATTTTAAGTTATTGGTAGAGTACCAATCCCAGGAATCTACAAAAATCACTGAACAAGTTGGGCTCTAGAAGCACAGCAGTGGGGAGTGACCTCAACAGCAAGAGCTTGTGAACTTTCTTCACTTCTGCCTCCTGTCATGTTGAAGCAACAGAAGCTCAATGACTCAGTCCCCGGTTCCTTGGCAAAAGCTTCATTTGGCCTAGCTTGGGTCACCTGGCAGGTCTCTAATAACCTGTGACTATGTTCAAGGGCAGGGGTCCGAGTCAGGACCACAAATGCACACATCTCCCTAAGCCATCCGAGTCATCAGGCTGTGGTTGGAGCATTTCTGAAGCCAGTTAGGTGGACATCCCAAAACATCTATTCTCTGCAGTCCCTACAATCTGTAAACACTGTGGATTCTGCCACCCAGAAAGCTCAACTCAGTCTCCTTCGCATCCCTGCAGCCTTGGTGAGTAGGTGGTTAAGATCCCTGAGTGTGGAGTCAGGATGCCTGGATTTGAATCCCGGCTCCAGCATCAACCCATTCAGGGACTTCAGGCAAGCAACTCATCCTCTGTTGGCCTCCGTTTCCTCTTCTACAATGTGGGAGAAAGAAACGTTCTGTTTAGGGATGTTGAGGAGATTGTAGGAGCTAATACATGTGACCCCATTAATCACACCCAGATGCTCATAACAGTGCCTAGGAAATAATATGGGCTCAAGTACCTGTTCGCTACTAGTTATGGCATTATTAGAACTATGACATTTACTTTAACAATAACAAGCGCCGTCCTTCTCTAGTTCAGAACATCATCGCTTTCCTATACACAGGTTCCTGAACTCTCTCGGTTCGCAGTGAGCAGCACCCTTGGCATCTCAGTAATGTTTTTCACAGCATATCTAGGCCAAAAGAAACACCTAATTTTTTGTTAATGTTGTTATAGCCAAACAATGTAATGAGTGTTTACGTCCTACTAACTTGGTAGCTGTTTGAAAATATGCTGCATGTACATTTAAAGAAAAATACGTATTTACTTCAATCTTAAATAACCGCAATTGCCCATTAGTTGCGCACCCCAGTTGGGCACACAAGTAAATGGAAGATTCAGATACAGTCCTATGGTAGGAATAAATACATAGTCAGAGAGAGGAGGGACACCTCTGCAGATTTGAGACTCAGGGAAAACATCCCGGGGGAGGTGGTGGCAACGCTGAGACTTGACGGGTAAGGAGATGCTGCCCCAGGTGAGTGGGATGGTGGTAGTGCTAATGGGGACTATTAGATATCTACTTCTTTGCTTTCATTATTTCACTCAACCCTCACAACGAATCTCTGCAGTGAGTACTTCTATTATTCCCATTTTTAGATAGAAGAAGTTGAGGATCAGAGAAGTTAAGCACTTGCTCATAGTCACACAGTTCATAAATGGCAGAGCCAAGCTTCAAAGCCACATGTACGATCTTCAGAGCCCTTACTCTTTCTACTATATCGATTTACTCCAAGGCGGGGCTCATTTCACAGGCACAGAGGCAAGGACAGAAGGTTACGTTTATGTTTCCCGTGAATCGCCACAGGTGGAGGGAAAAGCAATACAAACTTACCCTCCTCATGTCCCCCAGCTCGGTCGGCTGGTGGTGTGCACAGTGAAATGAGTAATTAGCTAGGATGATTTTAATTAAAATGGAACACACCAATTAATAAATGAAAGTGCTGGCATACTTGTTAATTTAACAGCTCCGTGCATGGTGCCAGCTTTTCAGTTAAAGAACCGAGATGGGAAGCTTCTCCTCTATGCCTCAGACAAGATGATTATGCACAATTCAAGCCTTTTTCTTGTTTCCGGTTGGTTTCTTATCTGAGAATAGCACAAGGTCTTGATAAAATCGCCGGAGTGATTATCCCAGGTGCAGCTGTCTTAGATGAGCAAACCTGAGGTCCCTAATGGGGTCGTTACGTATCCTACATTTATGGCCCCTCAGCCACCTCCCTGCGCCCTCCCACTGCTGAAAACTACGCAGACTTTGAGTCAATTCTGCTACGCTCACTCCTCCAATCACCCCTGCTTTCTAGCATGGACACTNGACGTATCCTCCATTCATCGCCCCTCAGCCACCTCCCTGCGCCCTCCCACTGCTGAAAACTACGCAGACTTTGAGTCAATTCTGCTACGCTCACTCCTCCAATCACCCCTGCTTTCTAGCATGGACACTGCCTCATGGCACCCCTTTGCATATCTTTAATATATGTTCAGCTTTGTGCTTCTTCCAGCCATGACCCTGGAAGGGACAGATCCGCACACCATGAGACCCCTCCGTCTCCCTTCCCCTGAGGTGTGCTGAGTGGGCCAGGGATCAAAGGTCAACCCATCACATTAGATGCCAGTAATCTATGACGCGTGTGTTCTACTTAAATAATTCAGCTAAGTCTATTAGATTTTCCAAAGGATTAGAACTCTGCCAGGAGATAATATGTGGTTGGGAACTATTTTGGCCACGTGCATGCCTAGGAGGAAGCCCGAGAGGTCAGAGTTTCAAGGTTCGTTGGGCAACAATCGGCGGGGGGGTGTCTCTGACCTGGGCCCTAGTTGTCCTGTTAGAGATTCCACCGCATACAACAGCAAGAAGAAGAAATAGTTCCTGAAGCAATGTAAAGATCCTTTTAAAGTCTCATACGCAAGTCCATACATTTTTATTTTGTGCGTGTAGCCTGGGCCTGGTACTCCCGTGACTATAACTTTCCCCATTTTTCATTTTATATCTTCAAGCCTTTAAACCTTACTTCATCGTGACTGTCAACAGCACTTCCCTTTCCTATTTCTCTCTCTCCCTCTCTCTCCTTCTCTCTCGCACTTATTTCCCATTTGAATCTTGAAGTGTTCCTTCTGGTTATTTTGTTCTACTTTCTTGATTCATTTGTGTTTCTTTATTAATTCGTGAACAGATTCTGCTCTGGGCTCATTTCCTCTCCTTCTACCAGCCTGGAGTTGTTCTTCTAAATCTGCTACATCCCGTGGAGCCCATAAAGCAATCTGAGAACTTACCTACATTTTTTTTTCCTGACTATAGATCTGATTGGCCTCAAGTGCAGACCAAATGATAAACTGAGGACAGTCTTGTTAGCACTCCTAACCTGTTTTAAATATATACCAATCTATC